TTGGATTTAACTGAGGGAGGGCTGTGCAAAGTCACCAGCCTCACTTTCACCTCTGGAGACATCTCAGTCCAGTGGCAAGATACAGAGCAGGATGACTGGAGATTGGCCCTAACTAAAGCTAGTACCACACTGATCAACGCGGAGTGTTCTCTATACTTGGTAGCATATGGTTCCAAAGAGATCTAATTCCCCTGAGCAGCCTCTGCATCATAGAAGAAGCATCTAACTGTGGGTCCTCAATCAAATTGTTTAACCTCTCTAAGCTTTACTTTCCTCCTCTGTAAAATGGGGATAATTATACTTGTATTATCTCTCTCACAGGGTTGCTGAGAAGAATGTAATGAAAGGAAAACACAAAGGTGGATACTAATGAGAGCTGTCATTATAATAGACTTAAGTCTTTATGAGACTTAAAGGTCTTAGCCCTAAGAAGAGATCCCAATACACCAATTTTTAGCCCTCTGCTGTTACAGGTAGCCTTTCAGGGGTCAGGAAACTATGTCTATTTTTGGCATGGGACAGATGAGGGTGATGAGTGTCACTTACTTTTTTCAGTAATTCTGTGGTATAGTAACTAGGGATCTACAAAGAAGATAAAGAAAAGCAAATGAATACCAGACAAACTGATCAAACCATCTTCACATTAGTTCTTCATTTGTTGTTCAGTCATTTTTCATTCATGTCCGACTCTTCATGACCCAATTTGGAGTTTTCTTGGCAAAGATACTGAAGCAGTTTGCCATTTCCTTCTTCAACTTATTTTACAGATATGGAAATTGAGGCAAACAGGGTTAAATGACTTGCCCAGGGTCACACAGCTAGTAACTGTCTGAGGCCAGAATTGAATTCAAGAAGATGAGTCTTCCTGACTCCAGGCTCTATTCACTCTGCCACCTAGCTACCCCAATTCTTCATAGAAACTATAATAATTCCTATGCTCTCTAGACAACAAAAGGATCTTGATGGCCAAGACAGGTATAACATTTCTGAATGCTTTGTTCAAGAAGTGATGTTTTTAAACAAAAAAAAAAACTTTGGCATTTTAACAATGGTTATTGAGTCATTTTGTTCTAGAGGTAAACTCACTCAAACTCAGGTTTTGTCTGCTATTATTATTATTTTTTTTTTTGGTGAAGCAGTTGGGGGAGGGGTGGTAAGTGACTTGCTCAGGGCCACACAGCTAGTAAGTGTCAAGTTCCTGAGGCTGTTCCCTGCCAAAAATAACCTATTATTTATTTTGTCCAAATTTATATACAGACATGTCCTCCCAAAACAATCCTTTGAGGGCAGATGCTATTTCATGTTTGTCTTTGTATCTACTGTTGGCACACAGTAGGTGTTTAATAAAATGCTTGGTTGGGACACACAGCTTCTATAAGACAGGGTTCCAGGTTGTGTGAAACTTTCTAATTTACAAACTTACTACAATCAATTAGGGAGCAGTTAGGTGGCTAGACTTGGAGTCAGGAGAAGTTCAAATCTGACCTCAGCCACTTACTAGCTGTGTGACCCTGGGCAAATCACTTAATTCTGTTTGCCTCAGTTTCCTCATCTGTAAAATGAGCTGGAGAAGCAAATGGCAAATCACTCCAGTATCTCTGCCAAGAAAACACAGAGTCAGACACAACTGAAACGACTAAACAACAACATAATCAATCAATCAACAAACCCATTATGTAATTTCACAATATGTTGGGTACAAATCTAAACACAGCCTGGATTTGAAGATCTTACTCAATCTGGTGCTCATTTCGTGTTCCTTCCCAATTCTCTCATCAGGCCACACCCTAATTTGTCATCTACAAGTTGTGCTCCATGCCTTGGCTCATACTGTGGCCCTGCCCCAAAGCCCTCTCCCTTCCTCTCATTCAGTTCAAAGGCCAAACCCTTACCTTGCTACTCCATGGAATAGTCCCCAACTATACCAACCCACAGCGATCTCTTCCTTCTCTGAATTCTTGTGTCATATGTCAATCTTTCTCATACAAAACAGCTCTTAATCATATACTACGTCCTACTGGACGCTGATTGTTTAATGTGTTTCATTTTTAATTAAATCAACAAGCATTTATTAAATGCCAAGTAAGTGAAGGCTGGGCTTTGTGAATACAGAGACAAAAATGTTAAACAGTTCCTGCTCTCAAGGAACTTATATTCTATTGGAGTATAAATCCAACAAGTAATCAGATATATAAATATTGGTTAATTAGATGAAAGTGTAGCCACTGGGTTGAGGCAAGGTTTTCTATAAAAGGTGGTACCTGAATTAAGGATTCTTGGAGGAGAAAGTGAGGAAGAAGCACAATAGTTTTAAAATCTGTGTCGCATGCCTGTCATGGACCTATTCACTAACTGTCTAGGCTGTCTAATTAACTCTAGTCTGCCTAGGTGGCACAGTGAATAGAGTGCTGGGCCTGGAGTCAGAAAGACTCGTCTTCTTGCATTCAATTCTGGCCTCAGACAGGTACTAGCTGTGTGACCTTCGACAAGTCACTTAACCCTGTTTTCCACCTAGCTGCCCCAATTCTTTATAGAAACTATAGTAATTCCTATGTTCTCTAGCCAACAAAAGAATCTTGATGGCCAAGACAGGTATAACATTTCTGAATGTTTTGTTCAAGAAGTGATGTTTTTTAAATGAAAAAAAAAACCCTTGGCATTTAAAAAATTGTTGTTGAGTCATTTTGGTCTAGAGGTAAATTCACTCAAACTCAGAAGGTTTTTGTCTGCTAGAATTTGACCCAGGTTTATTTGTGGATTGGAATGTAGTTATTCTTCCTTCATTCATCTTATATGAGTATCTCTGATGTTATGATTCTCATTACTTTCACTTTATTGTTAAGTTAGTGGTCATAATTAAAATCTAATGCCATCAATTGTGAATAGATGATTTTGTATAAATCAAAATCACACTGGTGGGGGCTTGAGAGCTATATTTATGAGTCAGGGAGTGTACTCTTACATAATAACCCATAATAGGGTTAGCCATAGGACACTGAAATACATAGGACATAGGTGGTCGTCCTTCTCTTGAAACCCTAGACCTGTCAATGTAAGAGCAGGCAAACTGTTCCAATAGCTTTGCCAAGAAAACCCCAAATCAGATCACAAAGAGTCGGACATGAATGAAAAATGACTGAACAACAAATGAAGAACTAACCTAAAGATGGTTTGATCAGTGTGTCTGGTACTCATTTGATTTTATCTTCTTTGTAGATCCCTCATTACCATACCACAGAATTACCAACAAAAGTAGGTGACACTCATCATCCTCATCTGTCCCATGCCAAAAATAGACATAGTTTCCTGACCCCTAAAAGGCTACCTGTAAAATGAGCTGGAGAAGAAAAGGGCGAACCACTCTGGTATTTTTGCCAAGAAAACCCCAAATGGGATCATGAAGTGTCAGACACAACTGACCAATAAATGACAAGCTTTGGGAACCTGTGGAATACTTTGATAGTTGGTCCAATACAAGAAAACATGGAGCACACATTTTACAATAGGGGCAACCAAGGAGAACAGCAGAAGTGGACCAGTTCCGCTGACTGGGGCTCTGGATAGAATTGAGACCCAAAACCAGTAGAGTCTGGTGAGTTTTTATTGGCTTCATGTCTATATTAAGCAATATCGGACACCGGGGGCAGGGAGCAAACAGTCTGGACCTGGAGACTGGTACTGATTCATACAAGTTGGAGGATGGGAGGTGGGGGGCAGGGGGAGATCCCCAGGGAATTGTAAAGATAGTTAATATCCAAACTCTCCAGAAAAGAGGCTTTCAGCCATTACTATTGGTCTTACTCTGACAGATTTAATTCCCAAAATTAGAGCTTTCCCAAGGCATCTTCAGTTTAATGGGGTGAGGAGGCTACTAAAGTTCTTAGGAATTTAAAAGCCAAACAGGATTTTCATTTGACCCCAGAGGTAAAAGGGGAGTTGAGTAGGGGAGGGAAGAGGTGATATGATCAGACCTGTGCTTTAGGAGCAGCTAAGCAGGGGATGGACAAGGCTGAAGAGAGATTTGAGGCAGGGAGACCAACCTAAAGGCTAATGTAAGTGTCCAGAAGTGAGGTGATGAGGGCCTACACCAGGGTGGCAGTAGCATCAGAGGAGAGAGGGGAGACAAGAGACTTGATAGGACTTAGTGATAGATTGGATATGGGAAATGAATGAGAATAAGGAGCAGAGAATGACACCTAGGTTGTGGACCTGGGTAACTAGGATAGTGGTATCCTCAACAATAATAAGGCATTTCAGAAGAGGGAAAGGAAAATCATCCCATATTCTTAGATTTCAGCCACACCTCCTCAAATGGAGAATGGCCGAACAAGTTGTAGTACATGATTGTGATGGAATGGTATTGTGATATAAGAAATGATGAGCAGGATGGTTTCAAAAAAACTGGGGGGCAGCTAGGTGGTGCAGTGGATAGAGCTCTGGCCTTGGAGTCAGGAGGACCTGAGTTCAAATCTGGCCTCAGAGACATAACACTCACTAGCTGTGTGACCCTGGGCAAGTCACTTAACCCCATTGCCCCATTAAAAAAAAAACACATACACACACAGAAAAACCTGGGAAGACTTACATGAACTGATGCTAAGTGAAGTAAGCAGAACCAGAAGGTCATTGTATGCAGTAATAGCAATATTGTAGAAAAATCAACTGTAAAAGACTTAGTAACCCTAATCATTATAATGATCAACCATAGTTTCAAAGAACTCATGATGAAAAATGCTGTCCATTTCCACATAGAGAACTGATGGACTCAGAATGCAGATTGATGCATATTTTCCCCCTTTATTTTTCTTTATTCTGAAACATGGCTAATACAGAATGTTTTGCATGACTTCGTGTGTACAAAGGGTAAAGTATTTTTTGTCTTCTCCACAGGAGGGGGGAAGTATAGGGAGGGAAAAGTCAGAGCCAAAAATAAGAATAAAATTTAAAAGAAAAACAAATATCCCAGTTATTTCAACCACTTCTCATTTAGCATGAGTAAATTCAATTCAACAAATGTTTATTTGTTCAGCATCTTTTACGCAATAGCTTCTGTGGGGATACAAAGACAAAAGTGAAACAGTTCCTCCCCTCAAGGAGCTTCTATTTTATCGGTTCCCAACTGCTCTTTATTAAGGGGCAGCAACTCTGCCATAGAAGAGAATACTATTGCTTTTGTTATGTCGAATGAGGAAGAGAAATGGGTGGTCACAATTAAATTCTTCCTTTCTGGAAGAGTTATATCCAACCACAACACCAGTGGCAGCCGCTGCTTCCGTGCCCTCCTCGTTCACCTCCACATAGGATTTATGGATGATTTTGGACACAGCCAAGCCCCTCTGGGTTGTCATTCCTGAAAAGTCAGCACTTTCTGCATCAAATATATCTGTCACCCCCATAGCTTCCAATGTGGGCCTCAAAGAGTAAGTCTCTTCTATTCTAAACCGAGGAAAATGCAAATTAACTTCTTTTCGGGCCATATTCTCAGGATTCATCAACTCTAATAATTTCTCAAAGGTGAGATCTTGTTCCAACTACAAAAGAAAATAGGACAAATGCCATCATAACAGGGGAGGTTTTAAATCATCAGAATTGTAAATGGTTGTGTGTCTGCAGAGCAAACCGGTTTCCATTCACATCGTACATGCGAAAACTTAGACATGGATTAACAATGTGTTTTTATGCTTTAAAAGTGTTCTTATCCCTGTTCCCCACAGTCAAGAGAGGGAGCTGCTGGCAGCTGTCCACCTGCCTCTCACCTTCTTCCCTTCCTTTCCCCTCCCCAGCCCTGCTCCTCCCTTCTCTTACCACCTTCTTCTAACCCTCCCCCCTTTACCTCCCTCTCCTCACCTGACTGATCCCTGAGGATCCTGTGTGTGCCTGCATGTGCAGGAGAGTATGTGACAGAGGAGGGAAAAAGTTAGCCCAACTGATTGATGCATTTGGAAACCATGTTCAATGTGTAATACCTGGGAACCTCTCACCTCCAGGAAGGGGGAGGAAAAACAAATGTCAGCTCAACTACATAAGACTTAGAGGACAAGATATTTGTGGCTGGAGACAATATCTTAGAGAATGCTCTGGTTACTACAAGCTTGCTCTCTGTGGAAATGCATCTAGTCTCAGAACCCTCAGAGGATAAAATCCTTGTGGCAGGAGACACTATCTCTGAGAACATTCCCTGTACTACAGTCTTGCTCTCTGTGAAAACACATCTAATCTCAGAACAATGAGAAGACAAGGCCCTTGTTCTTTCATGCCCTTTACTGTAATCAGTTGCAAGGAAGGGGATTAATTGTGTCTATTTGTGGTTTCATAAACAAATTGCCAAGAAAATGCTTGAATATACTCTGAGCAAAGAGCCTCTGTTTCTTTACCTTCTCTAAACTGCTGCTATCAGAAGGTAGCAGAACAAACATACTTAGATGTTTGTTTGTATATGGTAATTCAAGAATCTTCCCCTGAGATTCCTCAATGTATCCCATATTGAAGAAGCCTGTCTGTTTCATCATCTGCACAGGTCTGCTTGTGTCCTATAATAAAAGAAAATAATAATTATCCAATAAATACTTTATTTCCCTGAGAACTTAGCCTTTTAAAAACTCAATAATATCAAAAATGTCAGGATATTTTCAAAAAAATAAACTAACAACTTCAGCAAACTGTTCCGCTTTGACCATGGCTACGTGGGGTTGACTAACTGATCATTTTTAAATCAACTTTAAAGTACAGCCCACTTTAGCAACAGATTTCTCCAGAAAGAATCAGATTAACAATCCAGTTCTAACTTGGAAGTATGTTTTAACCCTTTATTGTCAGGTATACAAATATAACCATCAAGCCAGGGGATGTGACACATCCACTTCTACAGTAATAGGCCTTGAAAACATTAATTAAATGCAGTGATTAAAGAGTAGTTGGATGCATTTGAACCCTCAAAAAAGTGGTGAGTTGTTATTTCTGCCTTCCCACAAATGGAATCCTAGAGAAGCCTCGCAAATAGCGTAAACAAAACGGCTGGAGGCTAAATCTGAACTGGTTAATTTCAGCAGATTCATTCAAAATCATCTATTCAGTTTAATCCTAAAATAACTCTTGATATCCTTTCATGACTAAAATGTTATCTTAGAGTAGTACAAAATAGGAATTTTTTTCTCATCTTACCAAAGTTCTCATAGTTGTTTAGTCATGTCTGACTCTTCATGACCCCATTTTGGGGTTTTCCATTTTGGTTTGCCATTTCTTTCTCCAGCTCATTTTCCAGATGAGGAACTGACACAAACAACCTTAAATGACTGGCCCAAGATCATACAACTTATAAGTGTCTCAGGCCAGATTTAAACTCATGAAGATGAATCCTTCTGATTCCAAGCCCAGAGCTCTATCCATTGTGCCATCTAGCTGCCAACACTAATAAACCAACATTAATAGAAAAAAATTATCATCCCTTAAAATAACATTGGATTGTGCCAACATACTGATCATTTTTCATGTCTAACATTGTTGAAATGTGTCAAGAAGAGTGGCATTAACAGGGGGTGATTTTTTTTTCTTTTAATGAATGGTATCTCCAACACTAGTCTCTCTCCTAAGCACTAGCTCTGCATCACCTATTTCATATCAAACTTTTCAAAGTTGATGCCCCAAAGACATCTCAACTCGACATGTCCAAAACTAAACTTATTATCTTTACCCACATCCCTTATCCTCTTCTAAACTTCCCTATTTCTGTTAATGGCACCACTATCTTTCTGATTTCCTAGGTTTGTAACTTCAAAAATTATCCTCAACTTATATGTCTTCTTTATCCTACGTATCCAATCAGTTGCCAGATCTTGCCACAGAATCATTTTCTTTGACTTTATCTTGTGCTTTCCTTCCTGTCTAGGACACCCTCCTTCATCTGCCATGACTTTTGAAAGCCTTACCGGTCTTTAGCCATGCCTCTAATTCTTTCACCAACACCAGCAAGAACTCCCAACCACTCTAACCCACAGTGATCTCCCCCTGCCATGAACCAAGGCATTTCTTATCTGAAACCATCATTCAGTAATTAACTACAGTAGTATGTTGAGAAATCTCTTCCATTGCTTCCAAATATTTAACCTGTTGGCATTTTCTTTTGCAACTGAATTGTAAACCCCTTCTTTGTGTCGTACTTCTTCCTATACTGTTTGGCACATAGTTGTTGGTTAGTAAATATTCGTTGGTTTGTTTCTTGGTTAAGAGCCCTTGTGAATGGACATAGTCTAATGCTATAAAATAAAACTTTTTCATAGTCTAGTGATATAAAATGACTATTTTTCTAACTTGCTGCAGGTAAAACAGCAAATACCATTGAAAAGTTTAAGCGTTTTGCTGTGTTGGTTGGTTTTTCTAAACTGTATTTTTTCTCTTCATTTTTTATTCTTTGTTAAGAGAGAGGTAAGGCTTGCTGATTAAAGGAGAAGGGAAATAAAAGTAGTGTTAAAACAAAAGATATCAATTAAAATAAAATTAATAAAAAGAAAAAATAAAAGGGAAATCAGAAGACGTCTTTTCAGTACCTTGTTTGTCCTGAAATTTATTTCTTGAGTATTTTCTTGCTTAAATTTCACGGCCCAATTTCCTTTGAAATAAATGGCATTTGCCAGTACCAGGACAGTAGCTGGGTCAATAGTACCTGCTGAAAATAGCTCCTTGATTTTTCCTTAGATGTAAATAAAGAGACAAAAGAATAAATATCACATTTTGTGTTAATTTTTTTTTTCATTTACAAAAACTGAGCCAAGAAGTTTGCTAATAAACACTGCAGCTCGGTATGTCAGCAGAAACCATCCTCTCGACTGGTTCTTCCTACGGTATGAGACTAGTCACTGAAGAGTAGAGATGGGGTCAGAGAAAAGATTCTTCACATTTTGAAACCACTCACATTTCCAAGGCCAGCTCTTAAAAACAGATTACAATGCATTAGCATCCTCCCCCCATCCCCACCCCTACTCCTAGAATAACAAGGGCCTCATCCATTCTATTCAATTCAACCAATGTCTTCAGTGCCTTCTATGAGCAAAGTACTATACGAAGTCCATTTAGATGGAGAAGCTCTCCTTCCTCATGGAGCTATATATGCCTACCCAAACATAGCAGCCTTCAAGAGTGGCACTGATGAGGGCGGGGCCCAAGCCAAGATCTTCACCCTTTGCCTCAAAGGGAATCTGACTCACAGGCCCCAGACCCTCATCTCCCTTGAAAGCCCTAGCTTACCTTTAGATCTTATTCAGATGCACCTTCAACCCTTGCCCTGAATAGAATCTGGCTCCTGTTTGTCTACAGGACCCAGGAAAACCCTTGAACCTTCAAATTTCTTAATCAACTCCCCTCATCTCCCTTTGAAAGCCTTAGGCTCCCTTTTGTCTATAGGCCCCAGAAAGGCCTTCCTTTATCTCCTTTTGAAAGTCCTAGCCCCACCTTGATTTTGTGCAGATGCCTTTCAAACTTCTGCCTTCCTGTTCCTCCATTATCTATTCCCATTGTCTATTCAATCTCGCTGACCTCCCCAATTAGAATTGTTACCTACACCCTTTACCCAACCCCCTTCTCTGGCCACCCAAAGTTACTTTAGTATTTAAGATCCACCTTGGCCCTCATTCAGAGGCTGAGAATCTCATGCTCAAAAGGCTGAGAACCTCTCATGCCCGCTCATCTTTATGGGTGTCACCCGGCTGAGAATCTCAGGCCGACAAGGCTGAGAACCTCTCATGCCCGCTCATCCTTACGGGTGTCACCTGGCCTATATGTTTTACCACTAATAAACTTTTCCTCTGGCTGAAGAAGATTTGAGTTGAATTCATTCAGGCAAGGCCCGGTACCTTGATCTTGGGGTCCCAGCACCCCAAAACCCCTAGACCTCTTCAGCACCATCCCCTACTAAGAGGTTTGACTAGCCAGAATCATTCATGGATTAGAAAACAAAAACAAGCATTGTCTCAAAAAAGCTTTGGTTAATATTTCTTGGGGCAGGTCCTCTAGCTCTATCTCTCTAGCAAACTACCACAGGAACTAATTTCTTACCATAGGAAGTTAACCCCTTGAGCCAGAGGAGATTAGTTTCAGTGGATATAGGTTGGAGCAAAGCAAATACAATAAATCAGACCATGAGGAGAAAAGAATGCAGCATAAAGATTCTAGAGCACCTAGGTGACACATTGGAGAGAGAGCCTGGCCTGGATTCAGGAAGACCTGAGTTCAAACCCAGCCTCAGACACTAGCTATATGACCCCAAGCAAGTCATTTAGCCTTGTTTACCTCAGTTTCTTCATCTGTAAAATGAGCTGGAGAAAGAAATGCCAAACCACTCCAGTATCTTTGCCAAGAAAACACCAAATGTTTTGTTTTGTTTTTTTTTTAACAACAACAACAAATAAAGGTTCTAAGCTAGAGAGAGCATGTGAGGAAGCCCCTACTACAGGACAAAAAGACATTTTCTGAAAAGGTAAACAGTACTAATAGTGGGAGAAAATAAGGTAGCATCAAAGACTAATTTGGGAAGGGGATGGGGCTGGGGATGGCAATATTCAAGAACAATCATAAGAGTGATGTGAATAGAGCGATCTCTGATGCTGATTCATCTTAGGCGCTAGAAGTGTGTGACAAGTTATTGATCAATTCCTCTCAACAACAGCCTTGTCTAGAGTATTGGAGAGGATTTAGAGGTTGTAGTTAACACCCTCATTTCCAGATTTAGAAACTAAGTCATTTACCTAGATTATTACCAATTATTACCAACTAACCCAGACTTTCTGGCAATTCCTAGCTCACTGATTTTTCTACATCTAGTGCCCAATTTAACGTGCATCTAAATATCACCCTTTAGAAATATCAGGAAAAGTAAGTTCTTATTCCTTACTTACCATTTGTTTGATTCTCAACCCATGAATTAATCTTCCCTCGACTGTCTTCTGAAGCATGTAAAAAATCCACAGTTTCCAGCCCTGCATTGTAAATATCCTTTATGCCATCTAAGTAGGACTTTGAAACAACAGAGAAATATGAATGTGTACATCCATGGATTGGCCAGGTACAGGGAATACAGAATTCAAATAGCTAATGCCATGGTGGAAAGTGCCATATCTTAAACACTGTAGAATTCAAAATCTAGACATATAATCTCTCTGAATCACTCTACTACTCAACCATCCTAAAACATGGCCTCATTGTCTATAGACTTAGAGCTGGAAGGAACTTATAGATTATCTAACCCAACTCCATCATTTTGTGGATGAGGAAACATCTGTAAAGAGAGGCTAAACTTGCCCCAGCTCACACAGGTAATAAGTGACAGAGGCAGGATTCGAGACTAGGCCCTTTGGCTCCAAATCCAGCCATCAGTAATTGGCCATGAGTTTCTGTGGTTAGTCAAAAGGAAAACAATGATTAATCTATCTGGCAAGTTCAGGTGGAAATAGAACTGAAAGCATATTAATAACCCATGCCATGTTTACAAGCACCTTTTTTAGTTACAAAAGCTGAGGTTAAAAATATGGATAATTGACCTACTGACGGATTAATGAAATGAGAAAAGTGTTGTTTAGACAAATAATTATAGAAGGCATGTGATGGCACCTCATATACTACTCCAACAGTGGGAAGATGGAAAATAACTGAGTGTGGATGGGTGTGGGAGGGTGTTGAACTGAATAGAGTTAGAATTAAGTTCTTGAATAATCACTGAAGATGGTGGCATGGGAACCCCACATGGCTGAGGGATTCAGGAGGGTCTTCTTTGGAGCTGAATGGTTTCTTCTAATAATTTCCCAGTTGTTGGATATGGCTTCAAGAATTGCCATTTCAATACTTAATGGTCACCTGGATTGAACACAGGGATCATATATCTAGAGCTGGGAAGGACCATAGAGATTGTCTGATCCAGATCTGTCATTTCAGAGATGAGGAAACAAAGGTTCAGAGGAGTTAGAGTGACTTGATCAAAATCACACAGATAGTAAGTGGAAGAGTTAGGATGTGATTCCATCTCTGCTGACTTTCTAATCCAGCCAAATTGCTACTGTACCAAGCTAACTTCTACCTTAGACATCTGGGCCATTCTTCTCAGGTGCTCTGCAGGGTACAGAGGAAAGCTCATTCTTGGAACTTTAGGAGCATCCAAAGAATCTAAGCTTGCCAATCAGCACTTCAGAGCAACTTGAGGCAAACACCTTGGACAGGTAAGCAAAAAACCTGTAGATATCCAGTTCTGTAGCAACAGGAAGAAGCCTTCAAAAAATGGATGAGCTACTATGGAAATAACCCACCATCATAGAGTGATTACTGTTTTTTTGTTCTGGACCTATGACAGACTTCATATTATCACTACAGGAAAAACTCTCTTAAAGTGCAGATTTGCAAGCAGGCTTAGAGGCACTGAGAGGTTAAAGAACTTGCCCAGGGTTATATAGCTGATACGTACCACAAAGATGGGAGTTGCACTCATGTCTTCCTGATGCCAAGGCCAGCTCTCCATCTAAGATTCCTTAAAACCTCTTCAGAAGATGCTACTCTAAAAGGTAACCCAAGTAAGATAAGCTGGAATCTTCAATACTGTCATGTCCATGATAAAGTAAATGTTGCTATGACAGAAATGTCATAAGGACACATCAATGCCTTCAGCAACACAGAGTACCTCAGATCAGTTGGCAACATCAAAAGTGGCACCCTACCCATGATATAACCATGGGCAGTCAATGCCACAATTGTAACTATCATACCTACCAGACAAGCATGTTGATCCTGGCAGTAAGGACAATCTTTCCTTGTTAACAGCTGTCTCTATCATTATAGACACTACCCCACCCCAGTTTTCTGGGTTATTTCCTGTGCAAATGCACCAAACTTTGGATAGCCTCTGCAGGAATAATATTATAAAAGCACCTCTGGACATCTTTGTAAATGGTATTTTAGAAGGGCTGCTAGGTGGCGCAGTGGATAGAGCACTGACCCTGAAGTCAGGAGGACCTGATTTCAAATCCGGCCTCAAACCAGACATTTGACACTTACTAGGTGTGTGACCCTGGACAAGTCGTTTAACCCCAATTGCCTAAAAATAAATAAATAAATGGTGTTTTGTTCTCTGCCTTTGTTTTGCTCAGAATCAAGGATTTTGGTCAGTAGCCAGGACAAGGTTTTCCCATCTTTGTTTCTCAAGGAATGGTATTTGTTCTGCAGAGGCCTGCTGATCTGTATGGGCTGCTAAGAATGGAAAATCAATTTGGGAAAGGGTCTCAGAATGTATATCTAACACCAGCCCCTGATCAGTGAGGGAGCTTGGCTCACAGATTGTAATTGAGATGGAGCTAATCAGAGACCACACTTTCCTCAGAAGAAAGGACAAATGGTAAAGGAAGTTTGCCCACAACTGGAAAAGAAACGTGGTGACAATGAAGTAGCTGGGAGAGCAGTGGATATGGTGTTGGATTTAGAGTTAGGAAGACCTGAATTCAAATCCTGTCTTAGCCATTTAATAGCTTTGTGACCCTGGGCAAGTCACATAACCTCTTCAACTTCAGTTTCCTCATCTGTAAAATAGGAATAGTAATTGCACTTACATCACAGGATTGTTAAGAAGATCGACTGAGTTAATACGTAAAGCTCTTTGCAAAATCCTGATACTTGATATGAATGCTAGTCATTATTATTGTCAATAAAGAATATTGAGGAAAATCTGATGGGATAGTAAAAAATTCATTGGTCTATCTACAATGTCACTATTGTAGGGGAGAAGGATGATATACCAAGGCATATTAGCTCATTGTATATTTCCTTTTGTCAACAATCAGGTTTCTTTTCTGATCCTTTGCCTACAGAGCAACCATTTACTCTATAATTTACACTCCTGATGTGATAAACCCCACTAGGCAGAGTCCTACGCACATGACTAGTCCTGGATATCATACCAAATAAACATCCTTATTATAAATTGATAAATTGGCATTCTGGCTTATAAATCAGCCTCTAGTGCAGTTAATATGAGCCAATTCTTTTGGGTTAATCTGCAAAATTGAGTTTCTTAACCTGAAAACCTAAGGATTCTGAACCCTGCACATACTTCCAAAAGGAAAAAACATTCTCTGAAAACCAATGTGAAAATGCCAGACATCTGCTATGCATTTTCACCTACTACCTCTTGTGACTTCTAGTAAGTGAATTTTGTTTAGGTAAGAGAAAATGATGTGATCTTGAGCACCAATGTATTCAGCATCTACATTTAAATTATCAGTGATAGAAGCAGAATACTTACCTGCAGGAACTGAAATGTCTGGCTTCCATAGAGTCTGCTAGCAATGGTCAGTAAATAGTCATCATTGGGTTTGTTGATTTCTGCCAAGAGGGAATGAAACTGGGAATGGATTTCTCCAGGTGTTCCATAGAGAGCCTTCAGATAAAGAGAAGATTCTTGAGCTGATCTTAGCCTAGGAAAAGCTTCCTTTTGCTCTCTTCTGTGTCAATATCTCCTACAACTCCTCCAACCACCTCCCCCCCAAAAAATAAAAACTCCCTTACAACAAATAAATAGGTGGATAGAGTGTTTGGCCTAGAGTCAGGAAGACTTATCATCCTAAGTTCAAATCTGTCTTCAGACACTTACTAGCTGTGTTACCTGGGCAAGAAACTTAACCCTGTCTGCCTCAGTTTCCTCATCTGTAAAATGAGCAGAAGAAGAAAATGGCAAACCACTACAATATCTTTGTCAAGAAAACCTGAAATTAGGTCAAGAAGAGTTGCACATGACTGAAAATGACTGAATAATAACAACTGTATCTTTTTCTTTCTTCCACACCCAGAGCCTGTTGCCACATCTTCCACATTTCAAATATAGTACAACCAGCTGTGAGAGTCTTCCTTGAACATTAAAGGAGAGTTTCTTCCCTTTTGAGTCGACAGAAGGATCCTGTACCTGAGACCTTTCCTTATTGGATGCTAGCCTATATCCCTTTTTGGGGAAATGTGTATGCCAGAAGAGCTAGTTTTTCTGACACTCTCATTTGGGTAATGGGGGGCCCAGTTTGGAGCATGCATCGGTCATGGCTGGATCTCGCACTCCCTGCTGTCATATAGCTCACCGCTGATATACCATGACTGTCTCCAACAGTTGGCCTGTCACCTGTTGTAACTTCATCTAAGTGAAGCACCTGAAAAATATATGAAAAGTTGTTATGAGGGTCAGAAGAAAAAATATATATATGCATTTCTCAATTATACATTTGGGAAAAAATAGTAAATGAATCATGGATGTATAGCTGGAAGGGACCATAGACATCAAGACCAACTCTCTCATTTTACAGCTGAGGAAACTGAGGCCCAAAAACTGAGGCCCAGAGAGATGAGGTGACTTTCCCATGATTATACAGAGAGTAAAAAGCAGAGCTGGGATTTTAATCCAGTACTCTAAATCCAGCCCTATACATACATCCGTGTTCTATATTCAGTCTTTCAGTTTCAGTTAACACCCCTTTCCAGAGGTATTAACACTTTCTAAAAAAAAAATCTTGAATTGTGACATGGGATCAGACTGATAGTTCCAGATTCCTAGCAAGCAGTCTTGTGTTAGTTCATAGTTAATAACAAGCATGCTCTGTATACTTTTCAGATTATGAAAATAAAGTTGTATTACAAATCAAAAACTTCCCTCTGATTTGCTGTCTGCTAAGAAAATGTAAACAAATCTTACTTGTAATCTAAGGCAAGTGCAATTCGGAATACACTTCAACCGTGTGATTGAGACAAGCTTTAGGCAAATCTGACATGAAAGTCTGTTTTGTATGCCAGAATATGCTATGCAAAAATTACCCTGAATTAGGACTTGTTATAAAATTCCACAAGTCTGTATTTGGAACACAGCCTAAAAACCAAAAACAAAACAAAAAACTCTCTTTCTGTAACAAAACCACAAAAAGGCCATTTGAGGAAATGAAACCAAGCACAGTCTGCATTTATTTACCTTCTGCATCTGAAATGCAGTTTTGTCTCTGACTCCAAGTAAGGTCATAGCCAATTCTGCTTCAATGCCCAGAGGGGAAAAGACCATATTACCACCTGCATTTTGCTTGAATTCTTTGAAAATACTAAAGCCAAATTTGGCAGTTGCTTCACTGAGAGAAGGCATTTTCACACTGCTGAGGCCTAAGAAAACAAGAAACCCCAAACCCTGAATGTCAGTCAATCAGGCCATGTACTGAGCTAGATGCTAGGGATAAAAATAGAGAAGAAAAGAAAAGGACAGGACAGGACAGAAAATGAGAGGGGAAAAAAGGAGAGAAGAAGACAGGAGTAAAGAGCAGAGGAGAAGAGAAGAGAAAAGAAAGGAAGAAAAAAAATTCCTACCCTCAATGATTTTGCCATAGTTGATTAAGTCCTAGACTTGGAGTCAGAAAAACTTTGAATTCTACTTTTGATACTTTCTAGTTGTATGACCATGTGCAAGTTACTTTACCTGTCTAGGCTTCACCTTGTCCATCTTTAAAATGAGGATAATAGTCACTAACACAGGACTATTGTGAAGAGTAAATAGCTGCTGTGTGTTGTGAAGATCATCCAGCTTAATGAGTTAACAGAGATGGTACTAGAACGCACAGACCATGGCTCTTTCCACTACATCACACTAGCAATGACTCATTCATTATTATCTTTGTTATTCCGAGCACCTAGCACAATGATTGGCACATGGTAGACCCTTAATAATGCTTGTTGATAAATAAATAGCATCTATTTGAGGAGAGACAAATTTCCTAGGTCAAAATTGATTTAGCCAACAGAGTTAAAATATATCTTACATGACCTTATCATAACCAGTGCTTTCAACATACAGTACATGGTAGGCCCACTGATATTAACCTTTGTTTCTGTTTTGCTTTTTTTTTTTTTTACTGAGAAGCTAGTCAGCCTTAAAAGTTTGCATTCTTCCCAAGGCTTCTTCTTCCCAAGAAACTATTTACAGTGTTTACTTCTTACAGAATTGCATGGCAAGAGAACACCCTAAGAAACCTAGAAATAATAAAAGAATAGAAAGGAATAGATTCATTTACCTTCTTATTTTCAGCTGCAAAGTTATCAATCAGTCCAGTGAGTTTGAAGCCTGTTCTGATGAGAGAATAACGTAGGCATAATAATAAATAAACCCCAGGATGGCCCCACCCACTCTGCTGCTCACCTGACCAGTGATTCATCTTTGTGGGGTGTGTGTGTGTGTGTGTGTGTGTGTGTGTGTGTGTGTGTGTGTGTGTATTGAAGTACCTCTAGGACAACTTTGAATTAAATGTGAAGCATGCAGTAGGGAAAAGAGCATTAGATTTGAATCTAGAAGACCTGGGTCTGAAACCTGGATTTGCTAATTAACGTTTGTGCCAAGTCACTTCATCTCTCTTGACCAGTTTCCTCATATGTAAAATGAGTGGCACCTTCTAGCTCTAAAATAGGTAATATTTTTAAAAAATTTTAATTTCTCCCTATTTTTTCTTTTTGAAAATTGGAAATTTCCACATAGGATTTGCCTATAGTGAATTAAAACTTGCATGCAAAAAAAAATTTTTTTTCCACCCACATGCAGAAAAAAAAGTTTGATTAATGGGTGAATATTTGCTTTACAAATAGTTATAATGACAAATTATTTATCTCTATAAGTAGAGTTTTCTTAATTTCTTAGAACTTTGATGCCATTTACCATAAAAATATATTGTCACATGGGACTGTTCAAAAATACATCTACTTCAGGGGCAGCTAGATGGCACAGTGGATAGAGCACTGGCCCTGAAGTCAGGAGGACCTGCGTTCAAATCCAGCCCTGGACCAAACACTTGACACGTACTAGCTGTGTGACCTTGGGCAAGTCACTTAACCCCAAATGCCTATAAAGTTTCAAAAAAAACCACCTCTACTTCATGTGGTGAGGTATGCCTTTGCTAGTTTGAGTCAAGGAGAAGAAAACAGATGCATCTTTTGGAAAGACTGATCAGCAGGACCATCCAGAAGCAGCTGCACAGCTTCCTAGGATCACACAATCCTACTTCTAGCACAGGGTAAAGCACAAAATAGATGCTCAATACATACTGGCTGAATTGAAAACTGTAACTTAAAATCTGCCATCCTAAAATGGTCTCATTTGCAGATAGGACACTTTGCCTAATAACTTAAATACTTCAGCAATTGGTAATTTCATAGGCTACCCTCTCCATTGCTGCAGATCACAGCCTCTCCAAGCCTTAGTAACTGGTCTTTGATAATTATCCATCTCCCTTCTCCTTCCCCCTCCAACCTGCCCCTCACAAAAAAAAAAAAGTCTATACCCTGAACCCAACCTTCTGCTGATGAGCTCCTCTTAATTCGATGAAAAGCTTGAGACCATTTGCTGGGAACTTCCTTTTCTACCCTCCTCCTCATCTCATATCATTCATTTCTCATCCTCCAGTATCTCCTCCTTCACCCCTATCTCACATGAAGAGGTGGCCCTTCTCTTTCCCAAGGCCAACCCCTCTATGTATATCCTTGATCCCATTCCATCTCATCTTCAGCAGATTGTTTCCTCTATCATTCCCACTCTATCACTTATCTTCCATCTTGCCCTCTCTACTGGCTGCTTCCTTTCTTCATACAAGCTCATGTCTCCTCCATTTTTAAAAACAAAAAAAAACCCTTCATTTGATCTAACTACCCCTGACAGCCCTCATCCTACATCTCTCATCCCTTTCATAGCTAAATGTTTTGAGGAAGTCATCTACAATCTACAAAGGAAATCATCTACATCTACCTTCATTTCCTCTCCTCTCACTGTCTTCTAAACTCACTGAAGCATTGCCTTCAACCTCATCATTCATCATAAAAAACTGCTCTCTCCAAACTACCAACGCTCTTTTAATTGACAAATCGAATGACTTTTTCTCAGTCCTCATCTTTCTTAACTTCTCTGCAGCCTCCAACACTATCACCCTTTTCTCCTTGATACATTCTTCTTTCTTTAGGTTTTCATGACACTGCTATGGTTCTCCTCTGACCTGTTTGACCACATATTCTCATCCTTTGTTGGATCATCATTTAGGTTTTTCCTGCTAATTATGGCTGTCTCCCAAGGCTCTGTCCTGGGCCCTTTTCTCTTTTCTCTCTATCCTATTTTGCACAGTAATCTCATTAATTCCAGTGGATCCATTTATTATTCAGTTTATTCTGAACAGATTATTCTCAGGTCTATTCATACAACCTTAACATCTCTCTCTCTTTTTTTTTTTTTGCTTTTTAGGCAATTGGGGTTAAGTGACTTGCCCAGGGTCACACAGCTAGTAAGTGTCAAGTGTTTGGTCTGAGGCCAGATTTGAACTCAGGTCCTCCTGACTTCAGGGCCTGTGGTCTATCCACTGCGCCACCTAGCTGCCCCCCCTCATCATCTCTCTTGACTTCCAATCTTGCATATCCAATTGCTTATTGAAGATCTTGAATTCAATGTCCCTTGAACATCTTAAATCCAACATGTCCCAAACAGAACTCATCCTCGACTATGTCATCTTCAACTTGTCATTGTCACTCTATATATCCAATCTGTTACCAGTTCCAGTCTATTCTACCTTTAGAACATCTCTTCTAGAATACCGTTCTCTCTTTTAACAAAACCCAGCACCCCAGTGGAGGCCTTTGTCACCTCAAACCCAAACTACTGCAATAACCTTCTGCTTGTTCTCCAATGCCTCAAGTCTCTTCACTCCAGTTCTCAGTTGTCAAAGTGATCTTCCTAAAATGCAGGTCAGATGATGTTACCCCTTTACTTAATAAACTTCAGTGATTCCCTATTACCTCCAGTATACCCTATTACCTACAACTACCCAGAAGAAAATTGTAGGCTACACACCAATATCAGGAGGCAGAGAGATATGATGAAGAATTTGGTAAGACCCTCCAATCAAATCTGCATATACTTTAATGACTTAGATAAAGAGCAGTCATACAAGGGGAAATCTACATCTCTTCAAGGTCTGGAGGCTTTTCCCTATGCAGTAACAAAGACTGTACTATAACAAAAGAGTCATATTTATCCAAAGTCTATAATTGACTAAAAGTAGCTGGGAAGGAACCAGACTATTCATGATTCGAAGTAGCTGACTTTTCATTTTTCTGGGAACCAGAGTGCTCGCTAGGAAATGTCTGTTTAATTTCCAAGAATTGTGTGGAGAGTTCTATGTTATTCTTTGCTATCTCAATAGAACACTCCTTTTTTTATTTGTGGTCTCCGTATACACTTGCAAGAAGGAATTAAGTCTCAGCTGTGAGAGACCAGGCAGAGATTTTCCCATGTTCCTAGGATGGGATGCCTGGCCAAAGGAGTAAGAAAAGCCTAAGCCCTTTTGTGTCAGGAAAGAGTCTGGAAGCAAGAGTAACACATATACTTTAAAAGAATATTTTTTTTTAAGTTTCATTCATGCCTTTTGTTTTTATTTTAACACTTATTTTGGATATACACCTCCTCAACTCCAACCATCCAATGTGACTTCCTCCTAACAAAGAAAATTAGTTAAACAAAATCAGTAGAGAGGCAAACATTCTCCACCCATAATCCCCAAAGGAGGGAAGTTTAGTTCTTCACCTCTTCCCCAGGGCCAACATTAGTCTTTAGAATTATGCCTTACGCACATAACAAGCACTTAATAAATGCTTGCTGATTAATTACCTAGAATTCAGTTTATACAATATCTTTTTGATTAGTTTTTTTCAATTAACATGTTTTCCTTTTCTCTCTCCCTTCTACTGAAAAAAAAAGGGTATGGTCAAGCAAAATAAATTTCTATATTTGCTATTTCCAAGAATGTGTCTCATTCTGCATATTTGGTCCATTACCACTCTGTCAAGAGGTGGGTATATGGTTCAATATTAGCCCTCTGTAATCATGGCAGGTCACTGCCTTGATCAGAGTTCTTAAGTCTTTTAAAGCTGTTCACTTTTACAATCAATATTTTTGCATCTTCCCAGTTCTGCTCACTTCATTTTGCATCAGTTTATACAAGTCTTCCCAGGATTCTCTGAAACTGTCCCTTTCATCATTTCTTATGGTACAATAATATTCCATTACATTCATAAACCACATTTGTTTTTAGCCATTCCCCAACTCATGGGCACCCCTTTAGTTTCTAGTTATTTGCCATCATGAAAAGAGCTGCTCAAATATTTTCATAGACATAGGATATTGATCTCTTCAGGACATAGGCCTAGTAGCAGTATAACTTGAACATATCTTTTTAAAACTAAATTAGTGGGAGCAGTGAGGTGGCGCAGTGGATAAAGTTCTGGCCTTGGAGGACCTGAGTTCAAATTCAGCTTCAGGCACTTGATACTTACTAGCTGTGTGACCCTGGGCAAGTCACTTAAGCCCAATCGCCTCACTAAAAAAGCAAAAAATATATTTATTTATTAGGAGCAGCTAGGTGGCGCAGTAGACAGAGCTCTGGCCTTGGAGTCAGGAGGACCTAAGTTCAAATCTGGCCTCTGACACTTGAAACTTACTAACTGTATGACCTCAGGCAAGTCACTTAACCCCACTGCCTCACAAAAAAAAAAGAAAGAAAGAAAGAAAAACTAAATTAGTAAATCACCTATGCATCTGCATCAATCTCTTTAGAACAGCAGAGTCAGTAAGACCTGAGTTTAAATCTGGCCTTAGACACTTACTGGTTGTGCGACCCTGAGCAAGTCACTTAATCCTATTTGTCTCAGTTTCCTCATCTGTCACATGAACTGGAAATGGCAAACCACTACATGTATCCTTTGCCAAGAAAACCTCAAAGAGAGTCACAAAGAGATGGACACCATTGAGAACAACAACATCAAACTCAAATAGAAAGGAAAGGGATCCCAAAGCTGCACGTTAACTTACAAAACCACAAACTATCATCTGCGTTTGTATTGTGTTTTTATTTATTTCATTAAACATTTCACAATCATATGCCAATCCATTTTGGCAGCACCAATTATTTCAGCAGAATTTCACCCTTAACTACATCCCATAGCTCGGTAAATGAGGAAGTTGGAATAAATAACGTCTCCGTTTCCTTCCAGTTCTCGATCTACAATCCTGGGTCAACTTCCACTGCAGAAGTGTAGAGA